GCGGCTACTGCAACCAGCGAGGTAAAGCAGTTAAAGCACAAAGATAGCTGCTTCCATGGAGACTGAAATAACATTGATTGATGCTGAAGAAAATAAAGCGTATAATATGAAATAATATAATATAATGAAATTATTATATTATATTATATTATGAAATTATTTATTATTATTAATTATTTTTTATTATTGTTATTATTAATATTAATATTATTATTAATTATTTTATATATATTATATATAATATATTAAATATATATAAATAATATTATATATAATATATTAAATATATATATATAATAATATATATAATAAAATTCTATTTTTTTTTAATATTACATATGCCAGCTATTTTCAATTGAACTTGAAAACGTACTGCAGCTGCGTTCCATTTTATAATCTTGAAGCAGTTCGAAAATGTACGAAACTAAAACGGAACGATAGCCGCAGGAGCCACTTCCATTACGTCATAGCATGAGTACTCGGAGTGAATAAAGGAACGCACCCCTTGGGAGTCAATTATGTAACTTTACGTGAAATTTTTCATTTTTCATTTTTCACTTTTTACTTTTCATTTTTCACACCTTGACATTTCACGTAAAACTTTTCACGTACAGCGATTATGTATGTAGCTTGGATGCGTGGAAAGTGAAATCATGAAACATATTTTATAGATTTTATAGCTGAATTAATGAAAATTATTTTATTGGTACACTATTATATACATCTTTTAATAACCAATTGTATATGTACTACGTACACTTAATCCTAATGTAGCCCTAATCTTCTCTAATTCCGAAACATATTTATTAATTCCCTAGATTTCCGCCGCCAAGGTACATGGCGAAAAAGTTCACGTGAAAAATTTCCGTCGCCAAGGTACATGGCGAAAATGTGAAAAATTTCACATTTTCACGTTTGAGAGAGTTACATGATCCCATAAAATCGTATATGATCATAAGTTCATGTGAAACTTTTCACTTTTCACATTTTCGCCTTAGGGGAAAAGTTACATGATCGACTCCCTGAATCTTATACATTTACAAATTTGCCCGCTATATTATTCTTTTATTTCTCATCGATTTTTCTCTAGTTACTGAAATTTCTCTAGGAAATCCTTACAATCCTAACCGTACTTCACGACAGGAAAAACAGATGAGTTTGCGAACGGCCTGACCGTTACGGTTTTTCGCTCCCGGCACAAGAAGCGAATAGACTGTGAGACTGACAAAAGCGCGGCGCCATATTGCGAGCTTGTGTTTGGTTAACATTTCTGGCGCGTGGTGAAGAAGCTTGTAATTTAATTGATAGCGATGTCCGACAATCAGGTAAGCAGATCCGGTGAGCGCGATCGGCCATCCCCGCGTCCTCGCTTCGCCGCGGACGCAGCCGCGAGCCTATCCGGCAGCGGTCGGGTCCACCGATCTCTCCGCACCGCATCTCGTCGTGAGTTTGAACTAGCGCTCTAACCTTGCTGTGTGCCACTAGGAACAGAAACCCGAAGCCGGTCCAGGCGATGCGAATTCAGAGTACATCAAGCTCAAAGTTGTTGGAAACGTAAGCATACTGAACGATGCATACTGAAAAGTCACCTTTCTCCTGCTAGTGTCTGCGTGAGTGAAAAGTGTCTGTTTTTGTTCCAGGACAGCAACGAAATTCACTTTAGGGTAAAGATGACCACTCAAATGGGTAAGCTGAAAAAGTCCTACAGCGATCGCGTGGTAAGTTCATTTGATATTTTGCACACTTTTTCATGTTTTGTCCTTGCATTTGTATAGAATTTTGTAAAAATAACATAAGAATGTAAATTGATCATAGTACTAACAGATAGAGGTCTGAATTGTTTGTTTTGATTTAGTGATGCATTTCTAAAAATTTCAATCATTGGAATCTCAATCTCAAATCTTCAAAGTTAATTTTTATTTGATAATTTTCTTATAATTCTTCTGTCAACTAAAAGATAAATAGAAGATTATTAGTCTAGTTCATATAGCTTGTTGAATTTTTCTTCAGTAGATTACAAAATATGTTTGTTGATATTTATTTGAATGCTCACATGATTTTCTTGGTAAAAATTTTGTTTTTATTTAGGGTGTACCTATGACATCGCTTAGGTTTCTCTTTGATGGCAAAAGAATCAATGATGATGAAACACCAAAGCAGGTAAATTGATTTTACATTTTTGACTTGGAATCAATGGAAAAATAGATTAAAGCTTTAAAATTTTATTTTTAAAAAAGATTTTAATTTATAGTGAGTTATAAATTGGATAATTTATTATGAACATTTTTGTTAGATATCCTTCATACTTTGAAAAAGAGATAAACTTTTATTTAGAGAGTTAAATATAGAAAAAAAATATTAATCAGAAATTGTTTATATTTATTGTATATATATTTATTAACGTTTTTAATTAGTATTGAATATATCCTTAAAGTCAACATTTCTTTCAGCTTGAAATGGAGAACGACGATGTCATTGAAGTATATCAAGAACAAACAGGTGGTCGTTAACCAAGTTAGGAAGAGGAGGATCATTTCGTTCTAATATTTTATAAAGTGAAAGTGACTATTATAACAAGACAAAAAGGACAAGTTTATATAAGTATACATTCATACACACATACACATAGTACACGCATACATACACATTACACATATAAACATATACACATATACAAATGATAAAACAAAATGTAATTTCTTGACTTCACGTATAATATTGTAAAACATGTTGTCTTACATTCCTGTACTAAGGCGAATCGTCGCCCGGGGAGATTGGAGCAGTGAATCCCCGGGACGTTTTGTAAAACACGCGTGTTAATAGTCACGCCTTAACATTTACATACTACGTGTCCGTTTTCGTATGTCGTCAGGGCAATTCTCAAATAGAATAATTCAACTGTGCGCCATTATAAATGCGTTTGACATTCGCAAGCTCCTCGTCCATTTGAACTTGTCCCCAGAAATCTCACATTTTTCTTTATTTCTCTCTTCTTTCTCTCTGTTTCTCTTTTCATATTTCATGAATACAGGAAATGATGTGTATATGATATAACGAAATTGTTATGTTTAAGGTACAATAAAAATAGTAATTATGAAATTTTTTTCTTTGAATAACTGTAACAATAATAGGAAATTTATATCATACAGTCATAAACTCAGAAGTACTACGATTCGTAATTTATTTTTTTTAGAAATTTTCCTCTGATTGCTATTAACCGAAGATTAATTTTATACATACATATAAATAATACTAATGAAATGCTCCTTAGAAAAATTTAATAAGATAGTTTTTCCTTAACTGTAATATTGCTTATTTCTCGAATAAAAATACCAAATTTGTATGTAAAAACATAAAAACATGTACATCAAATTTATAAAATAAATATTAAAAAAGGAATTGTGTATGATTTTTACGAAAAATAAACATTCGCAAGATCATTGCTAGGTAAAATTTATTTTCGTCAAATTAATTTTGTGAAGAGTGTTGAATTTGAATTAGATTTCTTATTTTTATTTATACGAACTATATACATCTGTCACGTATTTTGCGCGCGCGCGCTTTGTGTGTGTGTGTGTGTGTGTGTTGTGTACAGTGTGTAGCGTATTACCGCTTAGGCGTAGCATTCTCAAATAATATTTCTATTTTTTTAATGCGATATTGCAATTTAGAATTTTGTTTGTAAATTTTGATTACATTCATGATTGTTCAAATTGAATTCGCGAAATCAAACATGTATTGATTTTTTATGGTCTATCTGCTTTAAATGAAATTTCTGACAATGTATGTGAAAAACCATCACATGTGCAGAAGCTGTGGGTATTTATAAATCTTTTAATTGTTAGAAAGTTGCCTTATGCTATTTTTTTGGAATGATATAACTCGATTTAATACTGTTAGCAAAATTTTGCAGTCACTGAATATTGAACTTTAAATACTGAATACTGAATACTGTTGTGTAAAATTTATATCAATTGTTAATTCAATTTATCCGAGATTTGCATGAGTCTTTCAGTTTATATGAAACGAAAGTTGATAAGTGCGGAATAAATTCAACACATGTGAACAACGAAAGTGTATGGTTCTTTTAACGAACATACCAACAATGATGAAACTTCATTTTTTGAAAGCAGTGATTTTCGAATTAATATTTTTTTATACAATTTTACATTCTTTTCGGATTAATCTAGAAAGACGAAGCCTGTGTCTTGTGTTAATTTAAATAATAGACTCGTTCTTATTAAAATTACAACTATGCAGTTAGAAATAAGCATAAAAGCACGTGACTGAGATCTTATTATACGCGCGCGCGCGCGCGTGATGTGTGTGTGTGTGTGTGTGTGTGTGTGTGTGTGTGTGTGTGTGTTTGACAAGAGTATCAACTTGTTTTACTTTATTTTAAATACATTACTCTTAATAATTACTCACAAGATTAATTTTGGATAATTATTCAAAACAAAATGTTCACTCTTAATTAAAAAAGACTTTAGTATAAATGATTACGTGGACAGATGGTAATATTGATCGCGAGATGATAGGTCTAATCTACCGGCGTATATAAAATCTACAGGATCGGAATTTACAAGTTGATAGGTTTTTATCTCTGTTACATCCTTATCCGCATGAAGATCGACTTATAATGAGCTTTAACGATCGCTTCGGGATCATGTTGACGCGCGCCCGAGCTCCTCACGAGCCAAGCGAAAAATGAATACATGATTCACGAGCAGCATGCACGCTATCTTCTCCTAAGAGAAGATAAAATGCATCACGGAGAATCGATAGTCCAGTAATTCCATCGCTACCGATGATTCGTGGCCTTTATCCTCTTTGCATTTCCATGTCACGCGAGAGTTGCTCTCTTAACTTCTCATCATTCAGTTTCTCTCCCCGTGATTAGGAGTGGATCTTATTATAGACACACAGATCTAGATTTATGATTTTGTCTGATTTATGGTTCCGACATTACCTTATGTAGAAAAATATTTCTAGCAAGTATATTTTTATCTCGCATTCGGGAACATGTTTAAGAAAATACTAAGCAAAAGATATCGCGAAAAAGAGTATAAAGATAAAAAAAAAAAGTTAGTAGAGTCAGAACAAGTTTAACAGATCTGAAAATGTGTAGAACGCTTTATATAATTAAACAAGATAAACGCAATGATATCATCTGTTTTGTAAAGTGTTAAATCATATATGAGCAACTAGAGGAAATCAAAAAGAGCACGCGTAAAACGTACAAAGCGAAACAGACGGAACGAAGAGAATAACGAGAGAAGCGACTGGCGAAGTGAAGGCAAACGGTGGGGATGAAACGGAGAGGAACAGACACCGACAACAAACGAGCCGACAAGGATAGAATACTGCGGCTGTATCACCTATGGGCAGATACAGGATTCGGAAGAAACGAGAGGTACGCACCGTACGAGTCGCGACGGAATAAAGTACGCGCGAAAGAGAGGGAGTGACGATCGCAGCCGCCCCAATAGACCTCTACCATCCAGCGACGCCGGATGGGAGGGAGGGGGGATCAGCCGAGTGAGGTGAGAGAGAGAGCGACGGAAAAGGATAGCCTCTAGTGTGGCGCGAGGTAGGGCGATGCCGTGGATCGTGGGCAAGAAGTGGGACGCGTTGACCACCTATGAGGTGAATCCGCGAGACGTCGGCCGATTCGAGTGGGGCGAGTTAGGGCGTTTCGACGCGGCGTGTTCGCATGTCAGCCGCCAGATGTCGAACGGTCGTGTCCCTCATCGGCGCGTTCTCATCCCTTCGAGGTCACCTTGAGAGGCGTGCACGCGTACAGGTCTACACCCAGAAACGCCCATCGCTGGCCCTCCCGCCGCTTCCTCGCCGCAGACGTTCCGCGGCAACCAACTGGATAACCAGGCCCGGTCCGGTTTCACGGCGTCGCACTGCTGCTCCGTCAAAACTCGCGTCTACCAGCGCCGCGAAGGACTCCACGTTTTCACCGGCACGATCCGATTCGAAGCGTCCACCGACTCTGACGTCCTTATCTCCATCGCAGCCGCTATTTCCGTACCGGTAGTGGACTATCTAGTATACCGGAGACGCGTCCAATGCACTACCGTCGCGTTAGAGACGGTGACTCTCGGTGACTCTTGTATGACGCCTATGGAAACGTCCAATTCGTCGAAGATCCAAAAACATGTGAGAGTGCGTCGTGTTAGGCTGGTACAACAAGAACTTTGAAAGGATACGCTTTGTGAGCAACGAGAGAGAACACTTGCGATCGCATTCTAGGAGTACTAATTAAAGATCATTACACTATAGATGACCAAGAAATTTGTTCAAGGTGGTTTGTGTAAATATCGGCGGAAAGTCTACGACGAGAAACATATTGAGAAGAGAAGGAAAATAGAATGTAAATACTGGCCGCGACAATTCGCGAAACTAGCCGTCGGAATGAAGTCGAGTGAGATTATGGTTTAGCCAGTGATAGAACCCGTGTGAAAGATTGAAATAATCGTCGGAGGTGTAAAATTGAAGAAAAATTTACCACGCAAAAGAATAATTCTTTTTATGTTAAATTACTATCTCACCGAACAACTATGTACGTTAAAAAGAAATCGTGAAACTTTAACGGATAATGATAAAGATACATATGTGAGGATGACATCGTCCATCAGTACTAGACGAACTATTTCCGAAAGAAGGTAGATCGTGAAAGATGATATTAAGTATCGAAAGAGGATTACGATTCATTTGAAGGAACATTTCAGGAGGAGAAGCGGCATCATGAAAACACGGCCTGCAAAAGTTCCATTGTGATCGGATCAAGAAAACTTAAGTTTGTCACTGTGCGCGAGGTGAGTGCGTTCGTTTCGGGCAAAAATGTCGAGTACACTCCCAGAGGCACCAATGGGTTTGGACTCGTCGGATTCAGAGGTCAGATCGAATCATCTGATCTCGCGACTGGATCAAGACTCGGAGGACGCGGAGAAACGGGATCAAGCACGAATGGAATGCAACAACGCGGACAGCGATTGCGAGAGCGATACCAGCGAGGTGTTGAGCGTTGGCAGCGAACCGACGCCAACCAGTGTAGTTGGAGTGCGCGTATGCGGCTCTATGAGGTACGACCAGGAATCCGCGAGTAGCCGGGGCGAGTTCCGCGATGAGGAAAACACGAGAACGTCGGCAACACCATCGCCGTCTAGCTCCGCTAGTTGCAACGACCTGTACTATCAGCGTACGTCTAATAATCATGTTTCGGCACCAAGCCCGCCCGGTTACAGTCAACCACCGTCATCTCCTACGGCATCTTCCGTAAGATCTCCGGCTTCCTCCTCGGCTACCGCCTCATCCCCGGGTCGGCCAGAAGCCATACAAGAGGCTATCGTACCTAGATACCAATCCAGTCATCAGCAACACCTCCTTACCCGATACTCCTCCAGAGAACCTGATATTTCTGACTATCCAACGCGAGTTCAGCACGGTTTGGGTCACGAAATTGTATATCCCACTGTAGAGAGATTACATCGTACACCGATAAGCGTTCCTCTAGTAACGAGACTTTCGTTGTCACCGCCGTCGGCCATGACGGTCGCCGGGCTTCAAGCGACGACACCCGTTCTCCATCCCGCTGCCTGCAGAGATCCGCGGGAGACTACCTCGTTGATGCCGCATCACAGTCAGCATTTGCATCATGCAAACGCCCACACGCATCTGCACCAGAACTCGCAGGTGCAGCATATACCGGCAAATTCGGTACACCAACACCGGCTTTCGGTCAGCAAACTCTTGCAACGGGATTCCGGAAGTCCAGCGTCACCCGGTGCCAGGGAAGAGAACGAGAGACGTACCCTGCCCGCCGCGAATGGCGTGCAAAACAGCATCGGTACTAGCAATAACGGTAACCATCATAACAACAATAACAACAACAACAACAATCTGCAGCATCAGGCGAGCTTGAAGTTCAGTATAGATAATATTCTGAAGGCGGACTTTGGCAGGAGGATCACGGATCCTATATCCCTGAAGAAGTCTCGGCCTAAGAAAGTGTCTTCAAGACCGATTGATCTGACGAAGGACTTTTTGGAATCGTCCTCCGACACTTCCGAGAGGAGCAATTCGGAGACGACGACGACAACGACGACTAACGCTTCCCCCACCGGTGTTTCGACCGGGAACTCAACATCCAACTCGACTGGAACGACCGATCCCGGGAAGATGTTATGGCCAGCGTGGGTCTACTGCACCAGATATTCGGACAGGCCTTCTTCAGGTAAGTTATCGGTTCAAGTTGTTTGGATTATATTTACTATGCAAATTTATTTCTTTTTTTCTTTTTTTCTTCGTGTCTGTAGCATGACGGTGATTCATCATCAAAGTGAATTTATTTTGAGAGTTTATTTTGAGAGTTATTCAAAAAAATTATTTACGACAGATTTGTTATGACGAAATCTTTAACAATTGTGTATATAACACGTCACAATTATGAAACTTTGATTTGTCACAGCAGATACTGATTTGTATCGTTGTTGAGATACGACAATTTAATTTATTTTATAGTCTCATTGAAATTCCGCGTATTTTATACAGGATTGTGAGAATGTAACGGTAAATATACTGCATAATAATACGATAGATCGAAATTTATTACTATTGTTCGTCTAGAGTGGAAAAGCTCGTGGTTTCGTATTAGTAGTTAAAATCGAAGAAGTATATTACGGAACGTTTCGAATGGCGAAACAAATTTTTACGCATTCATTGTTCGAGCGCGATTGCCCAATGCGCGTGGATAGGATCTCTCATTAGAAGCCGTATAATAGTTGTAAATGCCGAATGTATAAATTTCTTAGTCGGAGAAGAAATATTTAACACTGGAGGAAAATGTTTCTCGCTATTGTGCGAGAGAGCGTTTGTAAAGCGGCTGCAATTTACTACTGTCACGATCGGTGTGTGATACACGCTTATTCGTTAAATCAGCTGCCACATTTTTCAAATAATAATTAATTAGAGAAACGTATAGCGCGCATACACTACATTAATTACGATATGCTTTGGTAGATGAATATGGTGCAACTGTATAAATATATAAAACGCGTTTGGACACGCGGGAGAATGATCTCGTAATTTATAATATAACGTAATTTATAATATAATATAACGACGAGTTTCTCGATATTACATACATATGTGTGAAAACGTAGCCATCCTTGTAGCGATATGTAGCGAATGATTGAAGATCTTATCAATTTTGTAATTTAAGTGATATATATTTGCGCATATTTTTATCAGCAAAATATAATTTATCGTCGGGGAATCTAAAAATACACGGTTGTACAACACGTGGACGATCCGACTGTTCAAAACTGATTTTTAATGAACCGCTATGTATCACGGCACCTTACGCTATTGATCGGACATTTAATTATCATCTGCTTTTCGAAAGAAGTATGTCGGTATTATTACCGGTTTTTTTTGCAGCTTCGCGCAGATAGATGGTCCTTTCAAGTGACACAGGAAAACGTGTAATTACTTTACTTCCCGGCCGTGTGCCAGCTTGATGAATGATAGAGAACGTTTCTTCGTGTCATTCATATCTGATATACGCTTATTGTCAGGAAACAATAGTTAAGCAGTCGGAGAAATAGCCGCTCTCTGCCTCATAAATCAAGCGCGGCCATTTCTCACCTGGTACCCCGAGTAACAATTTTCTAGGCGGATCCGAAGACTCGTGCGTTATTGCGCAAAAATTCGATCACAATAAATTTATATAAATTGATAAATACATTTATCTTCGCGTTACACTTTACATATCTTATGTTATTATGTATGCCGCGCACGCTTTATATTATATATATATATATATCCCGTCACAGCGATCTGTGTTTCGGAATTATAAATTGTTGCGCACTTACATCTGTGCATCTATGAATTATCGGGCTGTTAACATTCCGCGATAATATGTATTTCCGTATCTTGTCAGTTAAATATCTCACGCTCCGCGTGATAACAGTCGTTTTCTTTTTAAGTGAAAACTGCTCGTTGCGGCGTTACGGCGTTTCATCAACGCGCGAACTTTATAATCGTAATGTATCGCCGTCAGGACTGTTCATTACACCAAACACCGTGACGAATAGATAAATACTCTTGCCACGAGAGATATTATTGGATCACCTTTTCCTATTATGTCTTTACAACGCGTAATTCCGCGACGGGTAGATAAGTCGCGAGTAGTTAAAACGACGACTATAAAATCTAATTACCGTAATTGCGCGTGCTACTCTCGTGCGGCGAGTTCATTGATATCATGGTCGACGAGTCGTATTCACGAGTATTCTTTTCGCGCGTTCGCGTTTTGCGTGCATTAATATCCGGCAAATAAGCGAGATACGGTCAAGCGGACAAGCCTGGCAATTTCTAAATGCGTATCCACATTGATGGGGAAAAAGAAAGATAGGCCAATCTAATCGATGACACATTACCTACGACACTACTCGCACGTACGAGACTTTTATACAAGCGGGAAATTAAATATGAAACAAAGTTCCTCTCTCATTACCGGATATTTACCGACCGTTGTAGATAGGACGGTAAATCACGGATCGCAAGTGCTTCGTACAAATACGAAGTTGAAACAACGAATAAATTAAAATCGGACTCTTTTTTAGAAATAGCTTTTCACATTAAACTCTAAAATATTTCAAGTCGCGTCGATATAACACGATTTTAATCTTTTGTCACATCTTATGAAAATTAAACTAGGTAACGGTTATGATAAATTTCCGAATCACCAATTTATACTCTTCACGGCTTACGCAACAAGAGCTATTGCTCACAGATTATAGAAAATTGATGAAAAATTATTTTATTTAACGTAACTTCGTGCTGCAAAAGGGCTGTAATTCACAGATAAAAGGAATAAGGTTAATATCGGTTGTCACAAGTGCACGTTGCCGTTCTAGAGCGAATTGTATTCCGTAATTGTAACGTGGGAAAATGTGCGAGGACGATCGATCAAGCGGCGCGTTTGTACTTATCGCCCGTTCCGTCGATGCGGAAAGAGAACGAGGTCCGCGACAATAAAACCGTTCTCTCCGGTATGTATTGCATAATTAAGATTATAACGCGCCGAATAGCCGCGGTGTCTCGACCGGGCCGAACCTGGACCGATACACTCGCACCGGCGCTCTCCGGGCAACGGCGCGAGGTGCAATAAAGCCGGCGGTATCGCGCGCTAAAATCCATTTACGGAAAGTTATGGCTAATTAGTTCCCTTGGTCTCGGATACGCGCAGCGCGCACGCACGGGCGCGATTTCCCGTTAACGAGGCTCGAACGGGTGCCGCGGGGCACCGTCGGAAAAGGGGACGACGTGGCTGCCTACGTGCGTTTATCTCTGCGAGCCGCGTATCGCGCGGTTGAGAATTTGAAAAATCCGCGCGGGGTACGGGGTTTTATCGGCGATGCCCGATGCAGGGACATTGCCGAGCGCGAATCAAGCTCGTGCGAAGGGACCACGACGTGCACCATAATAAACGGGGGAATGAAACGGTAATCGAGAAAATCGTCGCGTGATTAACGATCGACGCTGGCCGTCAATTTGATAATATCTCGCTGCATCACGCGAGAACACTTGGAACACTGTCGAATTGTTGCGCGCGAAAGTCGGCTGCGTTTGAGAAACAATCTCGTACTGTACTACTCCCGAGGAACGATACGATACGAACGAGAACGATACGATATTTGTTCGTCATTATTAATCGACGAGGGATGGGATTGGCATGGCGTTGCATAATTAAAAGAGGCGATCGGCGATAAAAAAAAAACAACGCGCGTATAATATGGCGATACATCAAGTCTTAACGAAAATGTTCGCGACGTGAGGTAAAGAGGGATTAATTCGCGGACTTGATTCCCCCCCGTGGTTTGCTCCATTTCTCTCTTCTCTTCTTCCCTCCCCCTCTCTCTCTCTCTT